GCCGCAAGGACAAGTGTGAGACCCATGCGCGTGCCGGTTGCTTCTGCTGGCGCCACCACACGCCCGGCATGGCGAAAGACAGCACTCCCGAGGCCTCACCAGCGCGGTCGCCTGTCGACGACGAAGACGCGCACGCTACGTTTGAAGCTATCGACCACTCGATTCTAATGGCGCTCTTAGGCGTCGTTTCGTCAGCGGAATAACTGGCGTAAGTATAATTTTGCGGTTCCTATCCGGATTTTGCGCTTGTATGGAATAAAAGCTCAGCCAATCAACGCGAGGACTACCCTGGAATTTATACTTTCGCCAGTTATTCCGCTGCCGAAACGACGGACTTGCAGAGCGACCTCATACTGGAAGCTTCCTTTGATGCAATGCTCGAAATTCAAATTTAGGGGCGACAGCGATTATTTCGTGCATGTATTTTCGTTCGTGTCAATGGGTTTTGTGTGAAACTAGACGTTGTGTATGTCGGTATCTACTGGGATGTCTTTGGTTCGCATCGACACAAGTCGTCCTCGGGAAGGCTCGGCTCGTTCTGTGTCGTGGATCCTCGCCGTGCAAATAGCGTTCGTCGCGCACGTCCCTCGCACAGCTACGCAATCTGGCAACAGCGATAGCAAGCTCCGTGGCCGCGTGAGAAGCGTTTCGTTAGGGACGGGACGATTCCAAGAAGTGGAAACAGTTTTTGTGCAGAACGACGAGCCAGTGAGAAGGGTGTATCGAAGAATCGAGGACAAGTGATCGTGGCCAAGGCACGGACGAGAATCGTATCTTTTGCGCCCGTGGCCTCTCGATGAAAAGCGTTCCCAACCACGCCACTCCAGAGGCTGGCCGGCGCCAAAATGCTCTTGTTGGCCCCAAAACGAGCGTGCTCGGAGTTAGTCGAGAGGGAAGAAACAAACAAGAAGCACTTGAGGTCGAGAAACCAAAAGAAGAAGTAAGCTGACCAGGCTCGGTGTATATTAGCGGAGCGTTGGAGCCGAACTGGTGGCTCGCAGAGACTTTGGGGCTCGGCTGAGAGGGCGCAGGCCGACGGTTTACGAAAGGCCTGCGACTAACTAAACCTCAACGACGTGCTGTAGCAGCTGGCAAGACAGTGGGCCATTGCTTGTCGTGGCAGC